ACAGGAAAATCTCTATTTGAAAATTAGATAATGCATTTCCAAATAACCCACGGACCAAAGGAGAAATAAATGATAACGCAAAAATATGTTGTACAAAAACTTATGGGATGCTCTTAAAACAGTAAGAAAATTTAAAACATGATAAGTAAATAAAACCCTAATTACCTCCCCCGTTGTGGAGGGGTGGTGATAGCCCAGTGGTAGAGTGCATGGTTAGCATGTACGAGGTCCCCTGGGTTCAATCCCTGGTACCTCCATTAAAATAAATAAGTAAATAAATAAATAAATAAATAAAACATGAAACACAAATATTTAAAAAGCACTGTTTTAGCCATGGTTCCCCACAAAAGAACACCACTTAAGATAAGACTTTGAATGCAGATGGTTTATTTTGTAAAGTGATATCAAAGAATAGGAGTAGGAGACTTGGATGAGTGGAAAAGGTAAGAAGGGAAAACGAACCCAAGGGTATGAGGTTACCAATCTGCTCACAACCATGACCAACTGAGATTTGATCTCACTAGGGGTCCTGTGAGGAAACATGCCAAACATGATAGAACTGTCCACTGAAGGAACAGAAGAGGGAAGAATTTATCCAGACCCACTCCCAAGGGAGAGGGTTGTCCAGTGGGAGGTTAACACCCTTGCACTTCCAAATTACATATGCATCATAACAGTTGAATGAATTCTAGGAAGCATCCCACAAGAGGCCCCAGAATAACCTCAGAACAGAAAGCAAAAGATAAGCACTCTAGCTGAGGTGAAAACTAGCATCAGTTTATACCTGTACGCAGCTGGATGTCTCAGCAACAACTGTAATAATAAAGTGGGCAGAGATATATGAGGAGAGGTACAGTGTATGTCGAACAGAAGGAAAACAAAGGTTAAAGATATCTTCATAGTGTTAGTTGAGAGAATTCATCAGAAGCAGACCTGTACTGTGAGAAATGTTAAAGCAAGTTCTTCAAGTGGAAAAGAAATAATACCAGATGGAAATTTAGATATTCAGGAAGAAAATAAGACTATTTAAAATGAAAATATGTAAATATTTTAAATCTATTTTTTAATTCTTTAAAAGACAATTAATTGTTTAAAGGAAAAATAATAACATGAATTATGGGATTTTAATATAGGAAGAAGTCAAATACATGACAACAATTGCACAAAGGACAAGAAGAAGTGAAAACAGAATTATGTAGTTGTAACTTTGTTATATAATATGTGAAATTGTGTAAATTTAATTCAGGTAATCTGTGATAAATTAAGGATACCTATTGCAATCCTTATAGGACGACTAAAAATTATATAGAGTTAGAGTTAAAACTAAATATTTACATTGTATTATATTATATTATATTATATTATATTATATTATATTATATTACATTATAAGTTACAGCTAAAGACAGTTACAATGAAATACTAAAATATAATTAATTAATCCAAAAGAAGATAAGAAAGGAAAAAAAGAAACAAAAAGAGAGGGGACAAATAGAAAACATAGAACAAGATGCTAGTCTACAAGTCAACCATAACAATAATTTTATTAATTATAAATACCAATTAAAAAGCAAAGATTGTCAGACTATCTAAAAAAAGTAAGACCCAGCTACATGATGCTTACAATAAATATACCTTAAAGACAGACAGGTTGAAAGTAAAATGATGGAAAAGAATACCCCATGCAAACACTAAGCATAACAAAGATTGTACAGCTCCATTAATACAAGGCACATGCACAGTGCTCTTCAAGACAAGGAGTATAACCAGATATCAGAGGAAATGAGTGTCATTTCATAATGATAAAAGAACCAATTCATCAAGAAGATATAACAATCTAAAATATAAATGAATTTAATGACAAAACTTTAAAATACATGAGTAAAAAATGACAGAATTATAAAGATAGACAAATCCACAATCACAGGCAGAGAATTTAATATCACTCCCTCAGTATTGATACAAGTACACAAAAAATCAGTAAAGTTATGGAGGATTTGAACATTATCAACCAACTTGACCTAAGTGATTTATATTTGTAGAATGCTATATCCAGCACCTGCAGAATGCACACTGTTTCCTAGAACACATGGAACATTAACCAAGATAGACTATATATTGGGCCATAAAATATGTCAATAAATTTTAAAGACTTAAAATTTTACAGAGTATATTCTCTAACAACAAAGTAATTAAATTAGAAATGAATAATAATAAGTTATCTAGAAAATCTCCCAAATGATTGTTTCTGCTTCTAGACAAGAAGGATCAACAGTTACTGGATTTATCCTCCCATCTGAAAAAACCAAAGAAACTAGACAATATATACAAAATGGTTGCCAAGACACTGGACATCAGATAACGAAGTACAATGATTCGTGAGAGGTTGGAAACAAACAAATACAATTACTCCATTTTATTGCCTAGAGAGAGTTTCTAGGCTATGGCACAAGAAGGAGGAACCAAGCTTGATGCCAGCAGATTCCCAAAGTTGAAATGGAGCTGAGAGTCCAAAGATAATATAGTGGCTAACGTTCTCAGAATAGAGGACCAGAGAGAAGAAAGCTGCACAGAAAGAGAACTTCAGAAATCTTCAGAAGGTCCTCCTCAAGAGTCCATCTGAGTACTGACAAGCACACATGTATGAGGAAACTACCCAAGGCTGGGGAAGGAACCATCTAAAATGATTAGAGGTAACAGTGGCTGCCACTCTCACAAGACTAGGAAAGTTGCTTGTTCTCATCAGATAGATTGAAAAGCTCAAGATTCATGGGCCATTGGGGAATAATTAGCACTAAACTAAGCATTACTCTAGTCCAAAATAACAAATCCTAAATGCAAGACCCAAAAGGATCAACCTGTCTCCAAGTAATTTAACCACATTCCAAAACATAATTTAAGAGTGTTTATAAGAATACAAAAATATATAGCACTCAGCAAGATAAAATTCATAATGTCTGGTATCCAATCAAAAATGACTAGCGTGTTCTAAGATTAGATTGTGGTGACGATTGCACAACCCTATAAATATACTAAATTTTTTAATTATACAGTTTAAATGAGTGGAATGTATGGTACATGAATTACATCTCCAAAAATTGTCCAAAAAATGACTAGACATGGTGCAGCTTCCAGAATGGCCCAGTGAGGACCTTGCCAAATCCTCTCACCCCAAAAGAATGATGAAACTGGACAAAATTGTCAAAATCTACCATTTCAGAACCCTGGAAATTAATCAGAACTTAATCAGAACATACAACACACTGAAAAGTATTCGTATAAGAAAAAGTACTCAACTGCAGCAAGAACAGCAGGATCTGTGGTATTTTAACTTGGGGCTGCTCCCATGCCCCTACTTCCAAAGTGCAGTAGCCTTGAGGACTAGAGACCTAGCAGTCTCATGGTAGCTGAAGTGGCTGATCCAATATGAAGGTCTGCAGAAAAGCCTCATGCCCAATAGTGACCTTAGGGGCAAATAATCAGGGAAGGCCAGCATCACAGCTGCCTAGGATTATGATACTGGCTAGAGCAAGCAACAGACCAGTCAGAAACTTAAAAGGAGAGGTGGATAATGAGACAACCATAAGGTGCTTTGATATGCTCCCATTTATTCTAGGGAATCTGGAAGGTTAGATGTACACACAGGGCTGTAACACATGCTCAGGGGAGACCAGAGATAGCCCCAGTTATCTACTCATTTATGGCTGACTTTGAGGCCCTGTACAAGCAGAAAGTGAAAATCAGAGACTTGTAAACTATCTGAAGTTAGAATGAGTGTACCAATACATGAACAGATTCCCTAGGAAAAAGGATGGAAAGCTTACTGGCTCAAAGTGTTTAAGTAAACTCTTGGACCAATAATTGGCTGACCAGTAAGCTGTGATGACCCAAGGGTTAACCCTAGGCTTAAAAATGAGATTGAGGAAAAAAGAAAAAAAAATTTAAAGAAAGAAAAAAAAAGAACAAGAATTAAATAAAAAAAAACTGAGCAGAGATTCCAGTTTCACACACTACAGGGGAAATAGACACTACGTAATTAGTTCAAGTACATCACTAAATAAAAACAAAAAATTAAAATTAAAAAACAAGGTGCAGGCCAAACATGGAAAAAAAGTAGCTTATATAAATTGTCTTTGGGAGGATCTAGGTGATAGATTTAGTACATAAAAACTTCAAATAAGCTATTATAAATATGTTCAAAGAACTAAAAGAAACCACATTTGAAGAATTAAAAGAATGTATGATCACAATGACTCATCACATAGAGAATATTAATAAAGAAATATAAATTATAAAAACGAAATGAATGACAAGTCTGGAATTAAAAGGTACAACAATTGAAATGAAAAATTCATTCAAAAGCAGATTTGAGCTGATAATAGAAGGAATCAGCAAACTCAAAGGTAGAGCAATAGAGATTATCCAGTCTAAGGAATAGCATGTAAAAAGAACAAAGAAAACTGAAAAAAACCACAAGCCCCTGTGAGGTACTATCAAATACAACACATATGCATAATGGGAATTTGAAAAGAGGAGTGGAGAAAAAAAGGGATATAACAAGTATTTGAAGAAATAATGGGTGAAAACTTCTCAAATTTGATTTTAAAAAACATTAACCTACACATCCAAGAAGCTCAGTGAATTCCAAATAGCACAAACTCAGATATTCACAGCTAGAGATCATAGTCAAACTGTTGAAAGCTGAAGCCAAAGAGAGAAACTTGAAAACAGCGAGAGGAAAATTATATGTTATATACAAAGGAACCACACTAAGATTAATAGCTGACTTCTCATCAGAAACAGTGGAGGCAAGAAGGCAGTGTTATGACATAGTCAAAGTGCTGGAGGAAAGAAACTCAACCAAGAATTCTAAGAATCAGTTCACCATGGCAACAGTTTATGACAACACTTTCTTCTTCCCAGCTTGTGGGTGTCCCTTCAGGTCTTCTGCTCTAAGCTGTCCTGAGAGAAAGGGTGTGGAAGGTCTCTGACCTGACATTATGGGGGATGGAAGACGTGACAACTTCAAAAGTATGAGCACTGAACGCCTTAAACTGGAGTTATTGGAAGAAATCCATATGAAAGACTTAGTACAAACCTCAATATTTGAAATAAGACACAAGATAGTGGAACTGAAAGCCAAACTCATTATTGACAATGGATGTAGTGAATGGAAAACCCGTTATGAGACACACCTTGAGCTGAATGATCGACTAGAAAAGCAAATTGCTACTCTCAGAGAGAAAATGGAAAAACTCCGTGGAAATCCTTCAGATAGATTATCTTCTATTCGTGTCTATGAGCAAATGCCAGTGGAATCCTTAAGTAATTTACTTAGACAGCTAGAAAAAGAAAAAAGGATCCTTGAAAATCGAGTGAAAGACTGTGCACTTAGACTGGAACAAGAATCAAAGGCTTACCACAAGGCCGACAATGAACGCTGTATATACCTAGCTAAGGTATCTCAGCTCTATGGCTCATACCAAGGTTCTAAAAGACAACCAATGAATCAACTGCATAGAATGAAAGAGAATCCAGTGAAAACAGGAAGATATAACCCAGCTAATCAGAAGATTGTAAATACCAAGAGAGGACCAGCAAAAAAGATTACATGATCAAATCATCTTCCAAAACTCAATCCATGATTCCAGAACTGAGTGTATTTCTATTTCTTCCCTTTATTCGATTGTAATATTCAAATCTTGAAGTTATCATTCTACACATTTTCCAGGGGATGAGATAGATAAGAAAGAGCCATTAAACCTCTTTAGCTCGTTTTCCAGAATTGTGTTCCTTTGTCTGCCTGAAACTAATTTTCCTAGTAATTTAGTTTCAAAAATTAGACAGTAATTTTAGTGACCCTAAAATATGTAGTAGCAGTGTTTGTGATTCTTAAAATATCCTAGGAAACCTGAGGGTGGCAATCATTATACTTGCTTTTAATAATAATATAGCCATAATCTGATATTAATATTGCTATTATATTTGGTTACTAGTTGGCTGTTAGCTGAAAAATTTCCTGCTATTTTAGGCTATATTATACTCATTTTTTTAAAAGCCAAGGGTAAACAAAGCTGCAAATCAAATGCATTTTAAAATTTGACTTAAAACTTCATGGTATTGTGGAAATAGCCTCCAATCAAGAATTAGCTTGGTTATAGTCCCTACTCAGTCATAAATTTATGAGATCTTGGGGAAGTCCCTCCACCTCATCTTTATTTTCCACATTGGTAAAATGAATGAGGCAAACTATGCAACTTCTAAGGCTTCTTACCATTCTAGAAAGCCAATATTTATTCATCTATTGCATGGACCTGACCCTTAGCACATGGTGATTTAAGTCATTTTGTGATGTTTATTATTCATAGTGATGGCTAGTTTTTTTTAGCAAACTTTGCAAGTGTTCACTATACTCAAGTCTAGAAGTGGAGATTGAATAAGGGTAGGAGAAGGGTTCTTTTAAGGCATTTAGAAAATGTATTGAATTCTCTTACTCACTTTTAGACTGTTTTTGTAATTGTCACATCGGTCTGCAACATACATATAATTTATTTTCCCAACTTAATAAGTAAAATTATTAGGCTTTGAATTTCCAGAAATCACCCAATGGTAAGTGTAGTTTCTAGCTAATGGTGTTCTCACCTTATATCTAGCACTAAAATCTAAATTCTTTTTATTCAGTATCACCAGCAATGAATACCAAATACATTTCACTTTCTTTAAGAAAGAATGCATAAATTTAATATAGCTAAATAATTCTTTTATATGACTTTAAAATGTAATACAGTGAAATATATAGTAACTTCCTATTATTCTACATTGGAGATGTTTAGAAATATTTCCTCCTGTTCTTAATTAAGTTAACTACAGAGTTCAGATACCATGACCCATATTATTAAACAAAATTATATTTTATACATCTTTCTTAGCATTAGCAGCAAATTGATCATTTGAATATTATAGTAATAAGTATAACCATCACAGATCATTGCTGAAGAATAAACAAGTTTGTTTCTATCATACAGAGGTAAGCCATTGTAGGGATTAGATTGGGGAACATTTAAAATTAACTCAATCATTGTGGTGGTATATTAGTTGAACATCTTATCACAGGGACTTGATCACATTTAAGTGTTAGTTCTGCAGAAAATACTTTGGAATCCTTTCCAATGCCACAAAGTGTCTGTCTTAAACAGAGTGGTGGAATGTTGGTAGGATAATATAAGGAACTGAAATGGGAGACTTTCTGTGTTCTGATATCTGTGTTCTGATATCAGTTTTGCCACATCTAAGCTTCTGAATTTGAGTAGATCACTTTTCATTGTCTCACTTTTATCATTTACAGAGTTTGGAATATTTACCCTAACTACCGTCTTACAATTGCTGTGCAGCTCAAGTGTATTTACTAAATATTTATTTATTTACTTCTTTATATATTATTCCCTCTTAAAAATGTGTGAGTTAGCTTTTACTAAATTTAGAGGTATAAAAATAACACCCACAAGATAAAAGATGAAAATTAAAATTTAAAAGTTTTGCAAGAATTCAAGACTAAGAAAAACTCTAGCTTTAAACTTTTTACCAGCCAGTACAAAGAAGGAATGAATTACACAGCTCTCATTTTTTTTTTTTGGTAGAAGGAATATACAAGCAGAAAAAAAGTTTTACCTAGTTCTAAGCTCTGAAGATAATTTGTCATGTGAAGTTTTTTAAGAAAATGCAGTTATGTATTGCAATATTCAGAGCAAAGTGGGGAGGGGCAAGATAGGGATAGAGGATTAAGAGATACTAACTACTATGTCTAAAATAGATAAGCAACAAAGATATATTGTGCGGCATTGGGAATTATAGCCATTATTTTCTAATAACTTTAAAGGGAGTATAATCTATACAAATATTGAATCACTATGCTGTACACTTGAAACTAATATAATGTTATATATCAACTATATTAAAAATAATAATCATCAGAGCAAAGATGACAGTTTGGGGTCCTTTTTGTTTAACACTGAAATATATTAATATCAGTATTTAAGTTCAGAATTCATAGACTAAAAATCAGTAGAACAATATTTAATAGATCTCAAAATTTTAAATGTCTAAATATATTACAAAATATCAAGAAATACCATTTATAAAACAAATGTTGCTGTAGTCAAAAAAACAGATAATAACAAGTCTTGGTGAGGATGTGGAGAAGTGGAAACTCTCGTACATTGCTGGTAGAGACATAAAATGGTACAGCCACTTTGGGAAATAGTCTGTCAGTTCTTCAAAAGGTTAAATGTAGAGTTATCATACGACCCAACAATTTCACTCCTATGTATATAGCCAAGAGAAACGAAAACCTATGACCACATAAAAACTTGTACACAAATCTTCATAGCAGCATTATTCATAACAGCCAAAAAGTGGAAACAACTCATATATCTACCAACAAATAAATGGATAAACAAAATGTAGCATAGTCAAACAATGGAATATTATTCAGCAATTAGAAGAAATGAAGTACTGATATATGCTACGACATGGACAAATATTGAAAGTAATATCCTAAGTGAAAGAAGCCAGTCACAAAATACCACACATTGTATAATTCCACTTATATAAAATGTCCAGAACAGGCAAATCTATAAAGACAGAAAGGAGATTAGAAGTTGCCTAGGGCTGGTAGAATCAGAGAGAGGATGGGTGATGGGGAGTGGCTACAAAGAGTACAGCGTTTCTCTTTCGGACGATGAAAATCTCTAAAATTGATTGTGGTGGTGATTGCACAATTCTGTGACTATACTACTAAAAACCATTGAACTGTACACTTTAAGTGGGTTAATCATATGTTACATGATTAATATCTCAATAATCCTGTTATTAAAAAATAAATTCATACATAGAAAAATAACCCTTAAAAATTAAGGCCCCACAAAAGAAGATATGCCCAGGGGAAAAAAAGCCTAAGAAAAGAAATTGCTATCAGACCTGCCTTATATGAAATTTTAAAAAGGAATTTCATCAGGCTGATGAGAAATTGTAACTTGAATCCACAAAAAGAAATAGAGCTCCAGTAATGTCAATTACATAGGAAAACATAAAATACAATATAAATATAGTTTCTATCCTTCTCACAACTGATTTAAAAGACATCTGCATAAAACAATAATTATTAAAATCCTGTTAGGTTTAATATGTAAAGATGCATATGATAATAATAGCACAGAGGAAGGGAGAGGAAAGGGAGCAATATTAGAGCGAAGTTTCTGTACACTACCAGAAATAAATTAGTATTCATGTGTATTATACTGTTTTAGGATATATATTGTAATCTCCAGAATAACCACTAAAAAAATAATTCAACAAATAAAGTAAATAATGGGAACTGAAATGGCACATTAGAAAGTATCTATTGCTTGCAAAAGTACACAGAGAAATAGAGGGAAAAAATACTTGACACATAAAGAAAATAGCAAAATGGCAGTTATAAATAATTATATTTACATTATAATCAATAATTATATTAAATGTAAATGAAATAAGCGCCACAATAAAAATATATTATCATACTATATTAGAAGACAGAATTTAACTGCATGCTGTCTAGAACAGACACAATTTAGATATAACACAAATAGATTGAAAGGATAAAAAATGATACACTATGCAATCAGCAACCATAAGAGAGCTGGACTGCCCATACCAGTGCATTTGATTTCTACTGCTGTGTAACAAATGACCACAAATTTAGCACCTTAAAACAATATCCATTTATTAGCCGACAGTTCAATAGGTCATAAGACTGGCAGGTTCTCTGCTTAAGGTCTCAAAAAGCCAAAATCAAGGTGTTGGACAGGCTGGCCTCTTATACGGAAGGTCTAGGAAAGAATCTGCTTCCAAACAGAAAAAGCATCCACTTACACGTTCAAAGAATCTGCTTCCAAGTTCAAGTTATTGGCAGCAATTCAATAGTTGTTCCTTGCAGTTATGAAACTGAGGTCCCTATTTCCTTGATACATGGCCTCAATTATCTTCAGGCAAACAATAGAGCATTAAATCCTTCTTGTGCTTTGATTTCTGATTATCTCTTCTAGCACCAGCTAGAGAAAACTCTCTGTATTTAAAGGGCTCACCTGATTGGGTCAGGCTCACCCAGATAATCTTTGTATAGTAAGGTTAACTGACTTGGGACTTTAATTACATCTGGAAAATTAATCACTATGGTATATCTGACCATAATAGTATTAAATTAGAAATCAGCAACAGAAAAAAATTTAGAAAATCCAGAAATATTTCCCAAAAAAGCCAATATATTTCTAATAACCCTTAGGTAAAAAAAAAATCACAAGAGGAACTGGAAAGAAATCTGAACTGGATGAAAACTAAAACACAACATGTTAAAATGTATGGGATGCAGCTAAGGCAATGCTCAAAGGGAAAATTATAGCTTGAAATGATTATGTGAGAAAAAAAAGATTTCAAATAAATAAGCTAAGTTTTCACCTTAAGAATCTAGCGAAAGTAAACAATAAGTTTCTACTATATAGCACAGGGAACTATACTCAATATCTTGTAGTAACTTATGGGGAAAAAGAATATGAAAATGAATATGTGTATGTTCCTGTAT